TGAGCGCCATGCAAAAATATATGGTATTTTTTATTTGCCTAATGGCGATTTAATTGGGAAAGCTTTTAAACGCCGCCAGATAACCGTGATCATCTGACATAAAAAAACATAAAAGTGTTTTTCTTATGTCCCAATGAAGGTCAGGGTGAACCACACGAACACATTTTCGTTTTGTATTGTTTTGGTTTTGTTTACTACGGGCCATTGACAAGCATCAAACTTTACATCATATGTTTGCACCCGATCAATCACTTTCCACCAGATTATACTGGGGGCTGGCTCTCTGTGGCGGATAATTCAAACATATAGTAGCGTGTGTACCCACAGAACTTGAGTGCATGATGAAGATGTGTACAAATACTCGTTTTTCGGAAAGCCACTAAACGTTGTTTCCAAGTATACGTCTTATTTAGAACCTTCCAGTTGCAAAGGAAAGACAGGGGAACCAACGAATACATTGTGTTTCGTGTCTGTGTGTATACCGCCTGAGGTTATTCTGCCACAACGGGCGACTCGTCTGCCAGCTGTAGCTTAGCAATTGAGTCAGTGGAGTACAACCGCTAGCCTGGGATCTTGAACGTGGTGTATCGCGCTGCAGTGACACACGCCCGCACGCTGGTACAATGCTAATCCAGATCGAAACGGGCAGGAGTGGGGATTGAACACAGGCATAGCCTCTCTATACTCATAAAGGCTGGCCGTTCGACAACGAAGCCTTAAAGCGCGCGGTCGCAGGCTTGGAGCGCGAGAACCTGGCAGCGCAGAGCATCGAAGAGCCATTTCTCGACTAACCTGGGCGACAGCGCACAGCGTATGCAGAAGCGAGGACCCAAAACACACTTGTTCGCTCAGGAGAAGTGTGTTTCGGCGCCTCGCCGCAGCGGGGCGCAAGTCACGTGGCTCTATTCTGATCCGCTGTCTGTCGCTACACCTTTCCTATTTCAGCGGCCACTTCTTGTGGCGATCAGCCAGGCTTTGTCAGTATATTGACCTTCGTCCGGAAGTGCTCTTTTTAGCCTCGACCGCAAGGAGCAAAAGAGAACAATAACCTCGAACCCAGACGCTCACGGCGAGGAGGGGCTGCGTCGGTCTGCGCCGCTGCTTCCCGCCGCGGGCTTCTTCGCTGCCTTCTTCTGTGCCGTTTCGCCGGCATCGGTCCTGTTTACCGCGGTATGTGAGTATAGTGCCCTAATGTGAGAGCCGTTTGTCCATACGCCACTTTGCCGCTGTTGGTTTCCATCTAGCCGAGCCAGAAAAAAGAAACGAGTTGACCGCACCGCGAGTGACGAAGAAAAAGCAAACTTGGCGACGGTCTGTAGGATCGCTTTGGTGGCTCTGGTGTTGCGTGTCTTCAACGTCCCTGTGAGAAGATTCCCCTGCCCTTCGAAGTTATTAAAAGCACCACGAGTGGCACGAAACATTTGGAATCATCGTCTAAATCACAAATAAGCAGGCCTTCACGAGCAACGACGATGCCGAGCAGGCGCTCGCCACCGTTGTGTCGTCAGATGTTCTACAACGCCGAGGTATTTTCATTTATCATTTGGAATGGCTTCAAGAGTGGGAAATTAATCTATTTCGCGGGTTGTTAACGCCGAGGCGAGTGCCCTCCGTTGCAGTGCCGTTGTCGCGAAAAGTGCAGAAAAAACCGGTTGGCGATGATGGCGGTGCTCTTTGATCGCTTTGATCCTGCGCCGTCGGGTTCATGGAGTCCGGAGTAAACATACGTACGTGCGTCTGCTGGATCGGTGTTTTGGACTGCCTCAAAACTCTTTCTCATACGCATTTTCCTTGTGAAGCTTAGTAGCTCATTACACCTCGTCGTCGACTGCGCTCATTTGACTACGACGGACGAGTCTGCGTGATGTGAATTTCACTGCCTAAGATCTTTGGTGTGCTGTAACGAGGGCTAATACAATATCACCGCGAACTTCTGAACAAACGAGTTGAAGTTTCGTCTGTTATTATAACTGATCGCCTGTCACAATATTAATCAATAGCGTTCCTAGACTCCGCCCCCACAGGCACCCTGCTTCGTTGCCCGATAGTAAGTGTCTCCTGGTACCTCGTAGAATTCCAGCTCTCACTTCAAGTAAGTACCATCTTTTAGAACTGGCAATTAATTGTTTCGAACCCAGACGCTCGCAGCGTGTGTTTGTGTGTGTGTGTGTGGGGGGGGGGGGTGATAGACCGCGACCTTTCCCAGTACTAGCACGTTGCCGGCGTCGGTCTTCGGACAGCCTGCCGCATCCAGCTCCCCAAAGCAACGCCGCCAACGCAGCCTCCCCCCCCCCCCTCCCCCCCTCCTGCCTGTCAGTTCATTCCGCGTGGTGGCGCGAGCGTAGATAAACATGGCGGCGCCCTGGAATTGGCGTGGACACTGGTCTATAGGAGGCTATGAACCAGGATTCCTGGGTTCTGCAGCCCGAGCTTTCCTTCCACGTGCTACGAGCTGGTGTTCGCTAGCCCATAATTCGGTTTCCGAACTCCCAAAAACAAACGACAGCAGGCTTATGCTTACAGCGCTGCATTCTGAACGCTTGTGAATGGTACAAATGGTATGTATGAATTCAAGGAGGGGAAACAAAAAACAAAATATATAATTCCATTATTTCTGTTCACCATATGTTTAGCATATTAACGAAGCGACCGCTATGTGAGGAGGGAACTATTTATATAACTGTTCGCACTGTACTTTTTTACCGTTTCAAAAAAAAACATTTAAATTGCTTCCTTGTTTTGTCATCAATTTTATTACTAGGCCTTTTCAAGGTACACTACAGAAAGCTATACTGGACGAAATAGTTACAAATGCCTACCCTGCTCTGCGCCAGATTGACTTTCTTTTACAAGGTTATTTAGGAAGTGCAAAAATTAAATTTCGCAACTTGTTTAGCTCCTTCATTTGCGTATCTGTTATTTTTCTTTTTCTTTTTTCAACGACACGCGCCGAAGCGTGTCGTAACTCTTAAGAAAATATAAATACTCAGGATATGATTGAGGCACCCCGCTTGTTTTTGTTGCTCCGTCATAATACATTGGTCCATATCTCCTTGCTTGATCGATTACCCAACGGAATTCTCCGTCTTGTGCTCCCCCAGAACCTCGACCGCAAAGCGGAATATTCCTCATAGCGTGAACCGACGTACGCGTCATTACCCTCCGTGCTGCGGAAAAACTAAACGTAAATAAAAACAACTCTTGGTGTCGACAGCGTCCCGAGAGCACTAAATCTAAAGCCCCTCTATCCTGGGAAAAGTGGCGCCATTCATTGTTGTGGAAATGCTCGAGGCACGTGCCGCGCGCCACTTCTGGGAAGAATGCTCTTCCCAAGGGCTGCACGTTGCACGTGCCTCGTGCACGCACCTTGCGCTACTTTTAAAACATGAAGGGGTTTTAACTAAATCAAGCCTCAGTCACGTGCGGCAAGTACCCAAGTGAATTCGCGGTAATGTTATCATATTATAGACGAGGGTGCCTTCATGTGCACTTTGCTTTGGGTGATGACATCTGGACATTTTGTTTCGAACGCTTATTTTTATTTTTTGTTTTGAAGCGCGTCAAAGAGCGTGTCCCTGCACGCGCTCGTGGCGCTGACTGTGCTACGACATTTTGTTTCCCGTGATTTCTTTCTATTTTACCCGCGAGCGCGTGCTGTCGGCATCGGGTACTACACAGAAAAAGACGACGACGACACTCCAGGCAGGACGATCGAATTTGTCGAGCTGCTACTTATCCGCGATTTGCGCAGGCTGCAAAGGCTAGAACAGAAAGGCGATTACTGCGAAGGCGATTAGTACGTTGGCACTGACGGACGAAGTTAGTTTGCGCCACCTGAACCTGGACAAGTCTTTTCGGACGGATCGAGAAGTCGGGGTCTGTTAGGCCTAGAGCCAGACAAGTCTGGCGTCGGCAGAGCTGGACGGACTCGACGTTGCAGCTGGTGTCAGCTGCGGAAAAGACGGAGGCCCTACGCAAGCAAGCAACGGATCCCAATGGGGGTCCATCGAAGCTTCTGGAAGCGAAGATCCCCGAGCAACGAGCGAAAGCCACCTTCAAGCCCGGCTAAATGGTACGAGGCCCACGTACGTTAAGTCTGCTCGACGGCGGGTCGCGATTAGCGAAGCGGGGGAGGGGCTTCACAAACGAATTCGAAGACCGAGTGCCGAGAGTATCGACACCATAACGTCGGAAGTACCGGAGGACAGCACCGAGAACTCCATGGAAGTCAACGAGACAGAGGGCGGTTCAAGAGGGGAATCCAAGAGCTATGAAGGTCCTGATTACGAGGGTGAGCCATGGCAAGAAGTGTATTACCGAAAGCGCAAGGCAAGGAAAGAAACGATGGACGTCGACACGCTTGCTACGACAAGCGCGAAGAAGCTAACGAATCAAGAGGAACGCTATGTGGTCGTCTTCAGGGCCCAAGAACGATACGACCTCACGAGTATTCCTGCTAGCACACTTCAAAGAAACTTCTGCACCGCACTGAACATCAAGCAGGCACAGTGCACAAGGGAAGAACTGCCGACATACAGGACGTCAAAAGTCACCAATACAATTTCGGCCATAGTTCGGGACCGCCTGCAGGCACAAACCTTGCTGAATATTAGAAGCCTCAAGGCGTCAGACAAGGCAGTGACAGTGATCGCCCACGAAATACCCCCGGAGGACACATGTAGTGGGGTGGCACACGGAGTAGACCCGAAGGAGACTGCGGGCGAACTGCACGAGGCACTCCACTGCAGGACACAAGAAATTCTCTACGCCAGGCCACTGGGCAGCAGAGGGCTGGCACTGGTCACATTCCAGGGAAAACGTCCACCGAGGACGATACTGTACCATGGCTTCATCACTAAGGTGACTCTGTACAAGCCCACTACAGTGGTTTGTCGTCGGTGTCAAGGCCTGGGTCACAAGGAAATGGTGTGCACTAGGAAACCAAGGTGCACCGAGTGCGGCTGCATTATTCAAGACGGCCACGTTTGCCAGCGCAAGTAATGCGTAAACTGCCGATCGCTCACGCATCTAGCGACGGACAACAAATGCCCGGCGAAAATTCGGCAGACAAGATGTTGCAGCAGAAGACCAGAAAGGGCGGGCCGTCAAGTAGGCAAGCAGCCACGGCGACGGGGCAGAGGACGGAGGTAGAACCGCCCCACGTGACCATAGACGAATTTCCACCGCTAGAAGCAAGAAGTAGTGCACTCAAGAGAAATTCACCAGCGCGCAAGAGTAGAAGCAGGAGCGCCGCAGCTGGTAGCACCAGGAATGGCAGGAAGGCGTCGCGAATTGCGTCACGTAACGAAAAGCCAACCATCACGTTGCGCGGAAGGTCACCGTCAGCTCGACGGGTTCGCAACAATGACAAAAGCTATGCCGAAGCCGCGAAGAAACCGAAAGGCTACTACGCCGATGATGACGACGAGGTCAAGGCATGGCAAACAGAGCTCCGAGCCATCGAAGCAAGAAATCAAGCGGACGCCGACAAATGCAGGCGCCTCGAGACTGAACTACTGCAACTTCGACAGAAGATCGAGGAAGAAAGCAGGCGTCGCGAGGCACGAAAAAGCACCATTTTAGGTCACATCAAGACAGCAATAGAGGCCAGGAAGACACAACAAGAGCAGCAAAGAAAACAGCGTGAGCAGCAGGCAGGCAGCCCAGCTTCTCGGGGAAGAGATCCAATTCGCGAGGAGAGGACCGAAGGGACGGCGACTGCAAGCAGCTTAACACCGCAGCAACCTACGGGATGACAAGTGGCATTACAGCGAATGCAAGCCCAGGTACAAGCACAGATGCAGACCCAGATGCAACAGATACAACAGCAAATGCTGCAAATGCAACAGATGCTGACGTCCCAGCAGGCTCTACCGACCAGCTGCCCTACGCCACAAGATAGCCAACAATGATGCAAGCAAGGAAGCGCTAAGAATCCTACAATGGAATTGTCGCGGTCTCGCAAGCAGAAGGGCAGAGCTCGTCCAACGACTCAAGAATGAAACTTTTGACATTTTTTTATTGCAAGAAACGAAGTCGGATCAGATCACATTACCAGGATTCAAACAATATTACATGCCATCTATCACGCACACCTACAGGAAGGAAAAGAAAATCCAGGCACAAGCGGCTGTTTTTGTGCAGGCGAAGCTACCACACATCACCATCGACACATCCCAGTGGTGTACGGAACTCCAAGAAGTTGTGGCGCTACGCGTAGCACTGCAATCCACGAGCAAGAGGCTCACGGTGGCCTCGGCGTACAACAGGCCGCACACTACGAAGGACTTTTCTTGGATCAGGCACCTACGCAAAGAATATTCTGATGACTTCATGGTCCTGGGAGGCGATCTCAATACCCACGTAGAACACTGGGCGATAGGCGACAAGGCAAGGGGGGCCGCAGACCTGCGCGACATCACAGAGCAGGCGGATATGGCCCTAATAAACGACTTCAGCAGAGCAACGAGGTATGCAACGGGAGCAGGGCACAGAGACTCCATCATCGACGTCACGATAGCGCCTGCAAGCACCGCACGGAAGTTACAGTGGTCCATATTAGACGACGCCTGGGGAAGCGACCATTTCCCCATTGTCATGGAGCTGGACATCGGAGCCAAGAGCAGCCCAGGCAAAAAACAGACCAAAACGATCATCTGGGATGACTTTCGGAAGAACATCGAAGACCAGGGAGAAGACTTTGAGTTCCAACACGTCGCAACCCTCCTGACGACAGCGGCCAGGATAGCCGTTGACGAGCGCCAAGTGGACGAGGACACTCCAACGCCAGGTACGCATCTTCTCTCATTATGGGACAGAAGAGCGGCAGCACTCACAACCTACAGAAAGAAGAAGCTGAGAAAGCATCTCATAAAAGTGAACAAGCTCACCAAAGAGGCAAGCCAGTACGCAAGCCAGCTTGGCTTCGACAGATGGATAGAATATTGTGAGACCTTTGATAGACTCACAAACATGGGAGACGTATGGCGGACTTTCAACTCTATGTACGGTAAAAAGAAGGGAGTCAGTCCCGTTCCCGTGATAGCCCTAATGTCAAACGAGAAGATGGAGGGCATCCTCAAGCAGCTCGGGGAAGTGTTTTTCCCTCAACCAACCAAAAGGCCCGACACGAGCACCTACTGGAGGAAGCATACCAGACCGTCCAGGCAATCCGAAGATCAGCCTTTCACGGAATGGGAGATGGATGCAGCAATCAAGCAATGCCGATCAAAGAGTACACCTGGACCTGATGGGATCACCGCCCCCATGCTTAAGAACGCTCCGGAGTCAGCCAGGCGAGCAATGTTGCAATGGTTCAACCAAATCTGGGACACTGGCGATTTCCCGGAAGAATGGAGGATATCCGTGGTGACGCCGATTCCGAAAGCTGGGAAACCCGCGACAGATCCGGCGAACGTACGGCCGATCTCCCTCACCTCTATCATGGGAAAGCTCATGGAGAGAATGGTCCTGGCCAGAATCCAGCACAACATACGCCACAAAGGAATACTCCACCCCACGCAGACTGGGTTTCGGGCTAACCTAAGTACCCACGACAGCCTGCTTATGATCTACAACGATGTTAACGATCGGCCGCGAAGCGATGGAAGTCTGAGAGTAATCGTATCAATTGACATCAAGAAAGCGTTTGACAGCGTCCCCCACGAATCTGTCGTCGGCAAGATGGAAGAGCAGGGGCTCACTGGCAAACAATTGGATTTTGTGAAGTCTTTCCTTGCGAACCGCAAGTACAGAATAAAGGCAGGTTACGGAAAGGAAGCGCGAGAAGGCCCGACTAGCGAAAACAACATCGGCGTGCCGCAAGGAGCAGTTCTCTCGCCAACGCTTTTTAACATAGTTATGGCACCACTGCTCTGGCGGCTCTACAAGATCGAGAAGCTGAAAGCGACGGCGTATGCAGACGACGTCACTATATGACGCATGAAGGTACGCCAGAGCAACAGGAGGCAGCACTGCAAGAAGGACTAAATAAAATCGGCGACTTTTTGAAAGAAGTAGGGATGAGACCATCCCCAGAAAAGACTAAATACACCGTGTTCGGGGCCGGTAACGTCCAAAGAAACCTGCAGCTCACCTTCGCCGGGGACCCAATCGTTCGAGAAGAGAGCATCAAGCTTTTAGGGGTCACCTTCGGAAACTCACCCAGCATCACTGACAAGTGGATGGCCGAGATGAGAAAGAAGTGGAAGCAAGGCCTCAACCTGGTCAGAAGAATCTCCCATCGACTTGGAGGAGCCGGAGAAGCAACGGCAAGGAAATTAGTAATGGCCACACTGGTCTCGAAAATCACATATGCGGCGCGATTTTATTCATTACGGTCGTGTCACAAGAACCAGTTCCGAGCTATGCTCAATGACGCACGAAGAGCCATCTTGGGGCTACCAAGAAGTACAAAAACGGAGAGGATGAGGCAACTCATCTTTTTGCCAAAAATTGAGGACCTACTGGTGCAGCAGACAGTGACGCACACGGCGCGTGTGCATCACACAGAGGAAGGCCGAGCAGTGGCAAGCTACATAGGCATCAAGCTCCCGGAGACCCTAGACCCCCTCCCCCCAAGCAAGGCACCGTGGGATGTGATTAGCGTCACGCAAGGTGCGAAACCCCTTCCAAGAAATATGGACCCGGAGCGACACAAAGCCCGCAGGAAAAGGTACGCCCAACAGCACAAGAAGGAGGTCAAGGAGCTGTTGGCAAGCCAGCACAACACAGTGGTGTACGTCGATGGAGAAACAAAAGCGAAGGAGTATGCCGCAGGAGCAGTCTTCTACAGAGGCGAGGGGGCAACTCCCTTTGAAATTGCCACTAGCTGCGGACTGGGCACGGAGGTCACATCAGACACGGTAGAAGAAGCGGCTCTTCTGTTCACGTTGGGAGTATACGGGCACCTCCCCGGCAAGACGAGAAACCTCATTATCTATACGGACTCCCAGGAGGCGGTACGAAACATGTACAAGCTCAAAGCAACTGCAAGCCCGACGGTACACGCCTTCTTCGACACGGCGCTCAGCCTATACCGGGAGCACGGCACAAGAATCAGTGTACGATGGGTCCCGGGACACCAGGAGATCTCAGGAAACGACATGGCTCACGCAGCGGCACAGTGCGGGATGAGAAGAATTCCTCAGTTGCCATCCCAACAGGCGTCCAACTGCGAAGAGTCAGTCGAACAGCCAGAAAATACGACATGCTACGACCCCGTCGAAGAGCTGCGTAGATGTCGCAAGATGCGAAAGATTCAGCTAGCGGAAAAGTGGCAACCCGAGGACTACAAGCTTCCGGCGAAAACCTTCAAGCGAAAGGAAACGGTTCAACTTCGGCGCATCCGTACCGAAGGCGCGGTCACGCCAAGGCTCAAGTACCACATCAACCTCTCGCAATTGCGACGGACGCAGCCGTACGCGGTCCCTCCGGACCCGCGATGTCAGAGATGCAAGGATCCAGAAGCCATTCCCAGGCTCGACCATCTCCTATGGGAATGCCAAGCTCTAGCCTTGTGCAGAGTGGAAGCCATCGAGACGCTACCCGAGGAAGAAAGACCCAAGAGACTCGTGGATTGGACGCACCCACAGGGCGAAGCCCAACGCCGGACGAGGATCCTCCAGTCGCTTCTGGACTTCGTAGCCAAGTCAGATCTTGGGGACTCCATATGAAAACACCCCTAACCCATCGCACAGTCATCCCTCATCACCCATAATCACGCAAGAACGAGGCTGCCAGATCCGAGGATCACCGCGGCGCGGATAATCTTTCTATTCGTAGTTCTTGGTTTCCAATAAACGTTTTCTACCTACCTACGGGTACTACAAACGATGGCATAACCCTAAACGGAAGGACATTGAGGCACTCTAATATAAACTATATAACCTGAAGGAAACATTTAGAGCGCGCTTAAAAGTGTTAGTACATCCAAATGCAATGTGCCAAAAATTCTGACAAAGCATTTTGCACCGAGGAGTAAGTTGAGTGCCACATACATTCTGCGATCGGGAACGACGAGTCAAAATGAAGACAACCGGGATTATACTTTGTTTCAACTTACGTTAGACGCCACCGACGCTATGAGGCAATGGGACCAATTAACCAGCGGAAAAAGCTCAAGTCACTGGGTCATGATGGTGAGTTTTTTTATGCTTTTTGATTGGTAACATCAGCTCGTAGCGTTTGCAGCGTTTGGACTTAAGATGAAACAAAGCGTAGTCAGAACGGCGCTTTCAAGGATTGTAATTCACGGCCATTCAGCATTTTGTTTATTTGTTTCACTGGTCGGTTTATTAGCAGAAATTATTGATTTGCGATCGTAGGTGTTGTCAGCCCATTTATCTTCTATGTGCGTCACTTAAAAGAACATTACAATGGAAAAAGGAAAATATGTCACGCGTATATTAAACAAAAAAAACGTTTACACAGAAATCACAATTAATTTTTTCTTTTACTATATTTACGCCCCTAGAGGCAATTTAGGTGCAGAAGGGGGAGGTCGCAGCCCGCTAAGCCCCGCCCAGTGCTTACAAGGTGCTTACATCTCATTGGCTGGAGAGGTCCCGTATGGAAATCTTATATCTATGGCATATCTTGCCATATCAAACATTATATGATCATGTACGGCCTATGTACCGCCTTACCTGGAGTATATACAGCCTTATCTGGCGTATATGCAGCTTTATCTGGCGTATATACAGCCTTATCTGGCGTATATACAGCCTTATCTGGAATATATACAGCCTTATTTGAGGTATATACTTCATTATCTGGCGTATGTACAGCTTTATATGGCGGCCGGTTTTCAATATATAAAAATGTTTTTAAAAAGTTAAAAAAGTGCTTTGTTGGCAAACTGTGAATTACTCATTGTTCGCGAGCTAAATATTAGCACAAATAATCACAAAAT